AGAATAATATATTAGTAACTTTTTGGGTGTTAATGGTGTTATATATAGGTACAAAAAGTATTATGTACTAAGACAAATTATTATTAATTTATTTGATTCATGCCAATTAAATATTAAAAACGTCCGATAATAACCCTAGTTTGCTATATACACGATAACTCAAAAATGTTTCGTGTCAAATTTACGAGGTGTTGAACTTTAATTTAAAAAATGCGAAATTATAATTCTTTTCAAAATGCAATATTTTAGCGAAATTTTCCCGAGATCAACAGATAGGGAAGGCTCATGTTATGCAATAAAATAATTTTGCTGTTAGTGGCGTGGGTATCTACACGCCACCGATATTGATAAGGAAAACAATAGTGCGCCACTGTACTTTTTAATTATCGCTTATACTTTTCAAATTCCTTGTTCACCTATGTATATTCCCAGGATATTCCCGCAATGTTATGTATATTTTTTGAACATTCTGGGATATTCATAGAGTATCAAATGCTATCTGGGTATGGGACCGTTATCGCCACCTACGCTTACTTCGTACTTACTAAAGAGGTATGGGATACATGGATAAACTCAATATTGATATCGTCTTCGCAAAGCTAAATAATACGTTTTTTATTCCAGGAATATATTTTAAACGATGTAAAAAATAGGCAACAACTTTTAATTATGCACAAAAAAGCTAAAAAGCTGGGAGCAGACCTTGCTAAGTATAACCAATGGCAATCCGAAATTCACAAAATCGAATACAAATTAAATAAGCTTAGAAATCCTCTTAAACTTCACTTACCCAAGAAATCACCAAGTGTTGTTGAGGATAAACCGATAACACAACCGGATATTCAAAAACCTGCAACTAATGTGGAACAACCGACAAAGAAAACTGATGTTGAGCAATGATTACTGTTGGTTGAAGGAAGTTGTTGAACGACTTTTTTCTAATATTTATTTTTAATTTTTAGGCAACCCATTATTTCAATACCTACTTTCCTTCATTTCATCGCTTTAGTAGGCAACTTAATTTGTTCCCATAATAGAACATTTTAAAGTGGTAAATTTCCTCAAGACTTGAATACTTATTTAAGGAAATACGCCGAATTCACAATTTATACTGCCTTTAGATTAATTTACTCAAGAAAAGCTGATATTAAAGTAGTACACCGATGTTGAGCATAGTTGGCTAAGTACATACTTGCATACTTCACCAATTAAAAGCTGAATCTCCTCAAGGAAAAATAATGGCATGAATACATATTCGTTAACTACACCTCGCCCAAAGTAATTGTTTGTAAATACCTTAAATATTATAAAATGTGTTTATTAATGTAGTTTCATTTTTCAAAGTAAAGGTAAGATCTTTTTTATATTTACGTGTTAATTACACTGAAACTCAACATGAATTGCAAAAGATCGGGTATTTTTAACTTTGGATTGAAGGAGTTTGTTTACAAAAGTTACATTGTTTCATACATATACAAGATTTATAAGTTTGTCATAATGTTTAAGACCGACCTAATTTGAGACTGAAAAATGATTCTATTCTAAAAAAGATTCTATTAATGGGTACATGTTTTTTCTGGACAAATTAAAACAATGCGATTTGAAAAGTAAGTTGGCTTTTGATCCATTTGTATCATTGCGATTACTACGTTAACTGAGATCATCCCTGACACAATCAAGAGTGAACATCCAACTATCGAAAATATTATTACTGTGGTAAACAAATAGATTATTCAAAATGTTTCATGGATATTAAATAATTTGAATTTGAAGATTTTTTAAGCAAATTTTTTATAATATTTTAAAAAATAATTCTAATTTAATTGTTATAAGATGTATATACTGAATTGATTAATAATTTTGAATGATGATTTTTCCTGTAAATCGATAGGAAGGAATACAATAAACGAAAATTAGCTAAGTTTAAACGAAAAATAATTTTCGGATTTGCCACAAACTAACATTTTTTCAAGTTCGAATTATTGAAGAATATTCGAGTTATAAGTAAGTAAACGAAAGTTATATTCATATATAAGGTTAAATTTACAGATTTAAAAAATATATCTGTACATATACATCAGACAATATATGTGCGATTTACAAATAGTATTGGCCTGGACGGCGTAGTGAGCAAATTTAAAATAGATTTTTTTCCTAAAATTGTTACATTGTATCTATAAAAAATACATCTGAAATTCCCTGTAACTCCGACCACTAACTAAACCAACCTTACCGCTCTTGATTACACCTGGGTAGCACTGTGTTGAGTTGCTCTTTTGAGTTGTTGCCGGTCTCTGAGTTAATGAGTCATAACTCATCACTCATTTATTAAAGCGAATTAAAGCTTTACGGGGCCCGAGACTGGAATTTTATTATCTAAAAAAACACCAGCTTATGTTTTATAAGTAAAGTTTTTCCAGCAACAGAACTGAGTTACGGCGCCGGTGCGTGGAGTTGGCACACCAATCCATTTGCGCAGCACAGTGCCAAGTGCCAACTCCTAGAAATTCACTGAGGTACCCAGGTTTACTCTTGATAACCAATATTTAGTAATACCGGTGATATTATTGTTTTCCAAATTCCTAGAACAGATGGGTTCCGTTTTCACCTCCGCCATAATAAATGAATACGTAAAATGTGGATCAGTAGGAAAAAGTTGAGGGAAGCAAAGTGACGAAGAGTTGGTTGTTAGATGTTATTTACAAAGGTTATAGCTTTTAGAGATGAACTTTCTTAAAACGAAATTGAGCTACGATTAAATACACTCAACAATGGTTTGATGAATTTGTTTATGAATGTTCAGTCAGCTTCCTCTCGTCCAAAATAATAACTGGCGGTTTAGAGATAAAACGCCAATTGTTCCCACCAATTTGACATTTAAATTTTTTGCAGCAAAATTGCCAGTTTTAACAACTCTTCTCTATCTAGGTTCCACTAGCGATACAAAAGATTCAATTACTTCATGACAACTTAACCAATTGCGAATAGAACCACACAAATGTCTAATATTTTCGGCAAAAAAAGTCCCACTTTGACGGAGGAAGACATTATTTGGAGCAGTACTGGAGCTGCTGTGAAAAAACTGTAAAACTAATGTGAAAGATGTGGGCTGATGATAATCAAATCAAAAATTCAATATTTTCTAAATCCCTTTCCTTGACTTGACTTAGCTGTATTTACCCAGTAAATCCTGCAAAGAAGTATAAGTCTAACTTACAAAACGTGAAACAAAAAGTATACCGTCTGAGGTGCGCAAAATCAATTATTTTTTTATTATTTTTATTATTATTATTATTATTTTTGTTCTGCGAAACTGGAAAAGTAATCCCTCTTCAGTGGCCTTGTAATAATTAAATGTATATGAAGAAGAAAATTTTATCTGTGATTATTTCTCTGAAGATCTTGTCTCTGAAGTATAAGAAATTGCAATTTCCGCTGTGAATGTGGTCACTATTTGAACTGGAAATTATTTATTTGCGATATGAACATTAGATTGACCAAACTAATTTCACCAAAGTATATAAATGTTTACTGAGAATTGGCAGAGGTACAAATATTTTCGACTCGGGTAAAACATACGGAGTAATTGAGGCACTGAACCACGACTATCTGCACTTTTGGCTGCAAAAGCGGATTGTATTAGAAAACCTGAAAAATGTACAATAACATTCTTTTGGCAGCAAATATTGCACCTTTGCGACTTCTCTCGCATTTTAATAATAAAATATATATTCAAATATAATCGTGTTTTTACACATCTTATTGTTTTTTATGGGAAAATATTATCTACTAAAGCGATGATGATAATTTTGGGCCAAGTTCGGATTGTTAAAAAACGCTCAACTTAGGTTTAGTTTAGGAAGAACGAAAAATTTTGTATCATTATTTACTTTTGGATTACAAATAAACTAAAAGGAAAATTGGAGTGTGGTATTTTATTTAAATATTACGCTTCAATTTTCTTATTGTAGAATATACACTCGTAGAACGAGTTAAATTTAACTAAAATGCCGAATATTTTGCATGATATATAAAAGTAAGTTGTTGACTAGATTTAGCTCTAAATATAAACAAAAGTTAAAACGACCAAACTATTGTTAGATACTGCATCTTTCTTCGACTTTGTTAACTGCTTCAAAATGGTATTGCTTCCTCAGAATATTTCGTCTGGCTTAGATTAGGGTCAATAGGCGATCTAGACTTTCATAAAATTCAATGTAATGGTCGAGGTGGAGTCGAGCCACAAAAATGGGGATGACCGTTGAAATTATCCGAATATTGTCAAACGGATTCAAATCAAATCTAGCAAACTGCATTTTCAAGACGAAACTAATAACTTTAAATCGAATTTTAAATGAAGTCCGTCCAAATTCTCGAACTATCTGAAAAACCAGAATGTTTATTTTATTCTGCATACACTTTTACGGCTTTCAACTGTTAAATTATTTAGTTTTGATGGCAGTTTGGAAAAATCGTTTTACATTGATACACTGGCATCAGTCTTGCATTATGAGCATAAACTTTTGAAAATGCTCCATATTTTTATGAACTGTAGTATTGCTCCAACGCACTGTAGAATATGCACATTTCGCTGTGATTCCGAGCTGTTTATTGTATATTATAGATATGACTAGCATATAAACAATCATTTTTCATCTTTTCTATATTGTAAATCGAATTATACATATATAATCTGTTCTCATCAAATACGTTCTAAGATTTTGTATTTAAACCTATTAAATATAGTCGAATACA